GAGATTTGGCCCAAAACCCTCCCTTCACGACGTATCTATCTCAGACTATCTGTCGCCAGCTGAAGTTTGCCGTCGAACTTGCACTGAGGCTTCAGACGAACTTTCACCGTAACGTAACAAATTCCAATTCATCTGCTGCTCCACCCACCCATCGCCGGCTGAAGCTCGCGTCGAACTTTTAGGAGGGGTCGGAGGAAGCGTCGTTCCTTGAAAATCATGTGTAGTCACAGCAAGAGCAGACACTACTTCGTAGTTCAGCTGATGCAATGACAGATCCTGTCCAGCCATGGCGGCTGAGGTATCCGCGAAGAAAGAAGGTTGTGTGAAATTTCGTTGAAGTTTCGTTGCAGTTTCGTTGTTAGTGGTTGCTGACATTTTGTCGAAAGTTCTGTTGAAGATTCGTCGAATTAGTAGGCTCGGGGAAAGCGTCGTTCCCCCGAAAATCATGTGTACTGCTGCACACATCGCACTTCAGCTGATGCAATGAAATCCAAAGAAGAACGTGTCCTCACGTTCTTTGGATCTCATTGCGACAGGTGAACTAAATGTAAAAAAAAAAAAAAAACAAAAAAAAAAAACACCGTGTCATTGGCAGTCCATGCATGGCCGCCGAAGTTTGTGTGTGTGAACTTTCGTTGAACTCTCTTCTCGTTTAGAGTTGAAATTGCGTCGAAAGTTCCGTGGAAGTTTCGTTGAAGTTTCGTTGAATTACGAGGTCCGAGGACGCGTCGTTTCATGCAAAAAAAAAAAAACTATGTGCAGCGCACACTTCGCACGTCAGCTGATGCAATGCATGCGATCCAAAGAACGTAAACGTGTCACCGACGTTCCCCATGCATGGCCGCTGAAGTTCGTGTGAAGTTTCGTTGAACTCTCCTTTCGTGAAGTTTGAGTGTGAAGTTTCGTTGAACTCTCTCTCTTCTCGTGAAGTTGGTAGGGCGTTTCGTTGAACTCTCTTTTTCGTTTAGAGTTGAAATTACGTCGAAAGTTCAGCAGAAGTGTCGTTGACATTTTGGAGTCGGAGCAAGCGTCGTTCCTTGACGTCCAGTGCCCAACGTCGCACTTCAGCTGATGCAAACAATTGCGATGAGACAGTATGCCGTGGCCACTGGTGTTTCAGATGCTCAGCTGTGGCCACTGGATGTCAGATGCTCAGCTGATGCAATGGGACCCAAAGGAGGAGTCGCTAACAACCCATGCATGGCTAGCGCTCCGCGACGAGCCCAAAACGATCGGACGGTCGAAATTCCACGCTCCTGCTGCAATCAGCTTTCTATAGACGTCGATCCTTGGAGTGGTGGCCCTCCAGGGCCTCCATAACCCCTCAGCAGTGGCCATGGCATACTGTCTACTGTCTAGGAAGGCCAGAGCCCACGCCTTTTCGTTAGACCCCCCGTTATCAGATGGCCTACCTTTGGAACTGTTGGTCATCTCGATGATGGTAATGGTACCGAGGGCAATGCGAGAGGGTTTGTCCTCTACGCCGTGCTGCACCCAGGAGTCGAACACCAGGCTTTTGGTCAAATCGTATTGCAAGCCGAGGGAGCGAGCCCGAGCCTGAGAGGGGAGCCAATAGACCTCATCAACTTCGTCGAGCTGGACTGAGCGGAAAATGGGATCGCGACTGGCAGCCTGGGCAACGCAGTCTTCGAAGCCGTCTAGTCCGGCAGTGGAGCTGGGATCCCGACCTCGCTTGATTGCCTCCAAGGCCGGAATATAGCGCGCCAGAGGAACGCCAGGCTTCGCGGCTGCGTAGCGGCGAATCACACACAACCCATCCCCGAAAGCACTCCTCCACCGAAGGCAACCGAAAGCAATTCCTCTCCCATCATTCAATCTCTTCGCGTAACCGAAGTTGTAGTTGCTCTCGCGGTTCTCGAAGACGTTGGTCAGTTGGAGGGTTCGGCGTTTGGCAATGGAGACCGCCATGACAGCTAAATATGACCCTCAACCGCCCCCCCCCCCCCCTCCCCCCAACACACACACACACACACTGCTGTCAGTTATTGCTGGCAAGTAAAAGTATAGCTTCGGCAACACGCGTTGCACTCAGTCTATTTTTAGCTAAATCGGTACTGTCATCAACAGATACAAGAGGACATACCTGCCACGTGTTGCTTCCGCCGGACAGAAAGATAGCCGAAGTTCGACACCACAGAACGAGCGAGCGAGCGAGCGAGCGAGAGAGAGAGAGAGAGAGAGAGAGAGAGACGTTTACTGCTCCTGCCAGATAGAAACCTCCCCCATGTTTGCACGTGTTTATCCGAGCAGTAGACTAGCCAGTGTAAATCGAGAGAGAGAGAGAGAGAGAGAGAGAATCTCAGAGCGAGTTTCGGCGTCTATCCTGTGAAATCCGGCACCTACGTGGAGAATCGTGGAGATCCAGTTGGAGGTTCAAACCCAGGTGTTGTTCCAGGTCCAGGGGTTGTTCCTGGTTCAGCTGTTCGTGCAGGGCAAGATTCCCGTTATTACATCAGCAGGAAAAAAGAAGAGAGTAATCTCAGTCAAGCGGGAAGCATCAAAGCATCATTAAAAAAGTTCACAATAAAATCAATACGGTCTTCTCGTGAATAGGAGTCGCGATCAGTACTGCTGTACCGGACTGGAAAGATAGCTTCTATTCCGTACTATGCGTTATGTTCCGGCGAAGATGGTCGAAATAGCAGCAGTCGTTAGTATCCGTACTGTGCGAATGTGCCAATGTGCCACGTGGCTGTCGAAGAACACTGGAAGCTCGATGCTGTGACAGAGAGCGGCAGGATATGAAGTGGTGGATACACTGGAGAGACGTCACACGGTCACAGATCTGGTCTGAGATCTGGGCAATCAATTGATTCTACTGGCAACGACAGTTTGTAATCGCCTGATTGGGCTCTGAGTTAGATTTGCCGTTGTGGGGGAAAAAAGAAAAAAAGAAAAAAAAAAGGAAAAAAATAAAAAAGCCTGATTGATGATAGTCTCCAAGCTTTCCCACGTATGCTTATCATTCAGGTGTCAGGCCGCTCAGGCCCACCTAACCTCAGCAGGGATCACGTGATTAAATTGACAAACTGCTTTGAGTATTAAGGGGGTCAACATGGTATTGCATTCTTTGCCCACGAACTTAACCTCCGGTTACAGCCCAGTAGCCTTACGGTTACCCAGTGAGCACAAAGGCACACGGGCTTAACGTCCGATTAGAACCCAGTGGACTGATGGTACCCAGTGAGCACATAGGCACACGGACTTAACCTCCGGTCAGACCCCAGTGGACTGATGGTACCAAGTGAACATAAAGGCACATGACGGACTTAACCTTCGGGCTTAACGTCAGGTTCGAACCCCGTGGCCTCCTGGTACGCCGTGAGGGATGCGCGGGCGCTCGGGTTTCTACCCAGTGGCCTAGTGGAGCAGGGAAGACGTAGACAGACAGGCTTAACCTCCAGTTCGAGCCCCGTGGCCTCGGGGTAGACGTAGACAGAGGGCTTAACCTCCAGTTCAACCTCCAGTTCAAGCCCCGTGGCCTCGTGGTGCGCACACCGGAAGACTTAACCGGAAGACTTAACCTTCCATTGGTACGCAGTGGCCCTCCGGTTTCTACCCACTGGCCTGGTGGAGCAGGGAAGATGTAGACAGATGGGCTTAACCTCCGGTTCAAACCCCGTGGCCTCGTGGCACGCCGTGAGGGGATGCGCGCACACCGGAAGACTTAACCTTCGACCTTCTGTTGGTACGCAGTGGGCCTCGGGTTTCTACCCAGTGGCCTAGTGGAGCAGGGAAGATGTAGACAGACGGGCTTAACCTCCGGTTAGAACCCCCTGGCCTGGTGGTACGCCCTGAAGGGATGTGCACACAGTCGTGACCCCGGGCTACTAAAACGCAGTGGCCCTCGGGGGACTACCCAGTGCCATAGCGGTACCCAGGGACCACATAGGCACATGGGCCTAACCTCTCCTGGGTCCGAACCCACTGGTCCACTGCTACCCGGTGATCACATGGGTAGACACATCCATGGACTTAACATCCGGTGAGGACTCAGTGCCCTGGTGATACCCAGAGAGGACAAAGGCACACGTACTCAACCTCCAGTTAGTACCCAGTGGGCTACGGTCTTCCCCCCCCAAACATAACGCTTCCTGATAATGGATGTATCAAAAGGCTATATTTTTCCGGTCAGGTACAGCCAAAATAAGGGGGCGTTGTGTTAGGGGGAAGACGGTATCGGTACCCAGTGAGGGCATAGGCACACAAATTTCACCTCCAGTTAGAACCCAGCACTTCTCCGGTGAGCCCCCACCGACTTAGACCCTCACAACTCTAACTGGATTTTTTAACCATGCCTTAACCATGCTTAGCACCTACAAAGCACTTGTCAATGAGCAGCTTCGCCCCTCCGTCAGCTCAACTGCAGCCTGACCGCTGACCTGCCCTCTAAGTCAGAAGACGACTGAGTATAGTACACACGCTTGCAGTGCCACTTACTCTCATACCGAGCCCCGAACCTCAAGCCCAGCCCCAAAATACCCAAACCACCACCTTGGTCCAGGACCACGGAGGCTCCCAGCAGTTCCCTAAGCTTGAGCAGACTGAAGACAAACTGCAGCCCGACCGCTGACGGCCGCTGACCTTCCCTCTTAGTCAGAAGACGACGGAGTAAACTACACAAGCTTGCAGTGATCACTTATCTCAAACCCAGGAGTAAACCTCACTCCCAGCCCCAAACCCCAAACTGCCAGCTTCTAGTCCAGCAGTGCAGCACTACGGAGGCTCGCAGAAGCCCTCTAAGCCTGGGCAAAAAAACTGAAGGCAAAAACGCCAAAGTGTGACGATGAAGTACTGTACCTTGCGGGTGTCTCTGACCCCTCTTCCTCGTAACTCGTAGATCACGGTCACGGAGAACCCCTCCGATTTCTGTCAGGACTCACGGGCATACTCATCACCACCGTACTTTCGTGCACGTTCTTGGCCTTAATTGCACCTTCAACTGCATGCATCTGACCGCAACGGCGTCCATAGTTCACTCCAGAAAACCCTGCTGCTGCTGTCCTGGTGCGACTATGCTCTCAGACTTCGATCGGATCGACGACTCGACTCAGTCCACTGAGCTGCTGCCCAGCCAGCGATTGAATGATGGATCATGATTGAATTGCCAGACGAGTTACGAGTTGGCCGTGCATGAAATGAAACGAAAAATGAATGAACGTCGGTTACGTCGCCGCGCCGAACTTCCATGCAAGGATGCAACGCCTCTTCGCGTCACGTGCATGCAATGCAATGCCATGCTTCTGTTGCGGTTACTCTGTTGCCTTTTAAATAACCTCACGTTCATGCATGCTTCTGTTGCGGTTACTCTGTTGCCTTTTAAATGACCTTACGGGTATGGGGATCATAGCTGTGCACGCGCATGCTTCCTCCTCTTGTCTTCTACCGCAGTCTGCTTAATGAGGATGACAACTGCAGTCTTCGTGTCTGTTCATCTAAAGTTCGTTTCCGAGTTCGAACTGAGGTCTCGATTTCGTCAGCTCGTGTGGCATCGGACCAACTTGTCGTATGACTCGTATCTGCACGCGGTCCGAGAGTATCTGTTCTGATCAGTTTAGTATCTGATCCGTGGTCCATCGGGCCATTCTTCGAGTTAAAATTAAAAGGGGGAAAAAAAAAAGAAAAAGGAGAAGTCTCCCATGTCGCTGGCTTCCCCTCCTATCCTCTGCGCGATCATGATAAGTGCTGCCTTCTCGCCTAAGGAGCAATGCACGGGGTCGTTTTTTGCCTGTCCCTCACGCGCGCGCATACCGTCCTGTCTATTCCATCCCTTCCCCCGGTTACACTCTCTCTCTCGCGCGCGCATACCGTCCTGCCTATCCCACTCCTTTCGCCGGTTACGCTCCCTCCCTCTGTGTGTGTGTGTGTGTGTGTGGCTCGCTCCGCTTTGGGCTCGTAGCAGAGCAAGAAGAGCTCAGTGACGTCAGTCATCTCTGTGTGTGTGTGTGTGTGTGTGTGTGTGTGTGTGTGTGTGTGTCGCTCGCTCCCTCTCTCCGCTTTGTGCTACCTTCTTCACCCGAATACAGCGTACGGTCATTATTGCTGTATTGAGACGGAAAGATACCCCAAATTCAGCTATAATGACCGTACGTTGTATTCGAGTGAAGAAGGTAGTAGCAGAGCACGAAGAGCTCACTGACGTCAGGCAACTCAGGTTGCAGCCACCGGCCGGCGACCATCACGGCCGGTTTTTTGCTTTCTGATTTTCACGGTCCCGATTGACTATCTGTTTTTAATGCTTGCAGCCACCGGCCGGCGACCATAACGGCCGGTTTTTTGCTTTCTGATTTTAATGGTCCCGATCGACTATCTGTTTTTAATTAGGATCTGTTTTTAGGATCAGATACTGAACTGATCAAAGAACAGATACACGTGATTCTCTCTTTTTTCACCAGGCTGAGCATAGATAATCTCGGACCGCGTTCAGATACGACAAGGCTCAGGCTGCCCAGCCTTCCTAGCAGCTTTATCTCTGTTTCTATTTTATTTCTTAGGATTTTTGGGCCTCGCCACACCACTCTCGAAATGTGGAAAAGACAAAAATGTGGTGCGTGCATCTGGTCATGTTCTAGCGGGAAGTTCATTCTCATTTCGCACATTTCGAGAGTGGTGCGGCGATGCCCTTTCTCTTCCGTTGCCCTTTAGCATTACGGTAGTCCGCTAGCCATCACTAACTCCTCCACAGGCGCGCGTTGATGGCTCGCCTCCAACTCCTGGTTCCCCCTCGCCGCCCGCCGCCCCTCCCCACCCCCCTTCCCCCCGGTTTGGCTTACCGATCTCAGCCGCGGAACGCGCTGTGTTTGTCTCACCTATCGCGCTGATCGAGCGTCATCCAGCCGGGGGGAACGCGCTGTGCCACGCTAGCATTCTTCTTCTTTTTTTTTTCTTTCCTTTTTCCTCTCTTTGCAAATAACCCCCATAAGTTGAGATAGATATATGGCAAAATGCCCCTAAAAGATAAGGGCCGAGCGGAATGCCCTTCTGTCAAAAAATATATTTTGTGAAAGACCCCTAGCATCGGTCGGAAGCCCATATTTGCACTATACCCCTACTGGGTACCGTCCAACCTTGCGAAATGCCCCATTACTTGCCAGCTTTTCCTAGGCGTTATTGCAAAAGGCCAACGGCCCAAACGGGGAGGTCCAGATTGTAAATTTGCACACCCCCCTGACAGGGGCACAACACAAAGATTTCGGCCCAAAGGGGCATTCCGCTCTACCCACATCCTTCAGGGGCATTTTGGCAAGCATCTCAACTTATGGGGGTATTTTGCAAAATTACCACTTTCCCTTTTCTTTTTTTCAAAAGGGCGACGGCCTTGATATATCATCAGGGGAGCCACAGGGATTGGTCCTGTTGGCATGGTCGCTGATGCTACTGGCTGTCCACTGGTCGGTATCGCCCACCTGCAGGTCGGGAGCAGCCCCCCGCATGTTCTCTCGTGAACACAGTTCTGGCTGCTACGGGTTCCGGGTAGGACTAAAATTAGGAGTAGTGGTAGGTAGGTAGTGTGATGTGAAATTGAGAGAAGAATGTAGTTTACTTTTTAAAAATATCATCATCGAACTGGCCTGCCCCAAGGTAATTCATAATTTTTGGAGTATTTCACTCATCTGCTACCAGTGGGGTTAGATCTCGGGTCGTTATTTCAACTGTCCCCGGGTGTACCACCTTAGATAGTTCCAGACGCAGATTCCGAACCTCTTTGACTCTGTTTATCTTTGCCTCTCAGGCTCTCAGCCCTGCGCAGGGTCCACGCTAATTAGCGCTATCTTATGGTGTCCTCACAGCGCTATGGGTTTCGCTTCATTGCTCTCCAGTGGACTCTTTGGACATTTGCATTGGCCCTCCAGTGGACTCTTTGGAAATTCGCATAGTAGGCGGAGAATTGTCAGTTAGGGTTTTTCCCATCACTGCTGCACTTACTATCCACCCTCCTACTCTCCGATTCCTGAGTCCAGTAGCAGACAATGTCATGGTAAGCAGAAGAATACAAGGCGTCATCACCGTTTTGTCTGCCCAGACTCCAGGCACACTCTACAAATTCGGGGTCCTACTGTGAGTTGCTCAAAGGCTCAAAGGTCTATCCGCGTAACAAATTCTGCAGGGTGGGCACTCTCCGCCCGCCGAAAGTGCTGTTCTATGGGGGGTTCGGACAGGTATCCGAGGCCCGAGGGGTTTTGGGTGGTGGAATTGGATAGTTAGTGCAGCCATGAAATCCTCCCCGGAATCAGAGAGTGGAGAGTAGTGCAGCGAGAGAGGCCAAGGACCAGACCCGCTGTGATTGCTAGTAGCGGCAGACAATGGTTGTCCTGACAGGATAGGCACCTACCCTACCCATCCCCACTGTGATCTTAGATCTATCGTTCCACTCTTAGGGGTGCTCGAACTACCGGTAGCACAATTTTACCTGTATGTTACGGCATTTACGGCCGCACCTGAATGGATCTGACCACAATTACGTCCAGCAGTAAGCGGAAAAGTTGAGAAAAGCTCTAGTGTGAGTGCGCAGAATGGATGTGATGGTAGCAGTCCTTCGCAATTTCACTGCCTCACACACACACCACTCAGAGTCTGTCAGACACTCTATGCATCTTCGCAATTTCACTGCCTCACACACACACGAGTCAAGCTCTGTCAGACACTCTATGCGTCTTCACAATTTCACTGCCTCACAAACACACCAGTCAGAGTCTGTCAGACACTCTATGCGTCTTGCGTGGGCACTTAGACGGGACATCGGTTACAAAAAGACCTTTCAATTTGCAGAGAAGATTGTATTTCCTCCTTTTTCTTTCTTTTTTCTTTTTTTCCCCTCTTCAGGGCATGCTCACACTAGGACTTCTTCCGCAACGCTGTGGACATACTTGCCCTTAGGCTCATGCTGATCTGGCCGTAATTGTCGTCAGATGCATTTGCTAAAGTGCTAGTATGAGTATGTCCTCAGTTGGGTCTAGTTCCTCCACGCGATATGTTATGTTCGTGCAGGTCTGGCTGTAATTGAGGTCAGATGCATTTTGTAAAGTGCTAGTGTGGCATACTGTGCAGCCACACGGGCCCTGCAGGGCCCGTCCCGGACCTCCAGCCTGTTTCCCTACAGGGAAACTTCCAGGCTCTTGCCTGGAAGCTTCTTTCTGACAGGGCCTACAGGCCCCAGCCTGTTTCCCTACAGGGAAACTTCCAGGCTCTTGCCTGGAAGCTTCCTTCTGACAGGACCTACAGGCCCCAGCCTGTTTCCCTACAGGGAAACTTCC